AACAATTTAGCTCTGAAGGATTCATCTATATGAGAGCTTTTCAAACCTTTCATGTTGGTAACACACTTTTTAGACATGCATAATTTCGTGACACAGTAATTCAGTTTTACTAGCAATGTAAACATAAAGGGTACCAGCCCTGGGAGGAGCATGGGGAGCATTTGCGTGACACACCTACACACTGTGACACATAGTTTGGAAAGCTCTGATCTTGGAAAAGTAACTCTTGACCTTGGTTCTTCAGCCATAAAATGGGTTGTGGGGATGGGTTGGAAGCTTTTAAAATGCTTGTAAAATATGAATACTACATAAATGAGTGTGCTGACTAGGCAGATGATTTCAACCATGTAAGTAGAGTATCTCCCCAGGACTCTCTTGAAAAGTAATTCATACAGATTGTGTTGTGAGGCAAACTTGTAGCATGGCACTGATTCTGTTCTTGATTCTGCCTGGGAAAGGAGGCGCCCCATCTCTCTTATTGTTACAATTATTTATATTACACTTTTCAGGATACAAATCCTTCCAAAATTATTTACAAGTAGCATCAATGCATATTAACACGCACACACAGTAATCAAAATTAACAAATACCAAGCCATAAGGATCCTTCCCACAGGGCACCTAGTAGTGGATGACCCCAGCTGAAGCAGGGGCAGACTTCATTTCACCTTTCTTACTCACTTTCCTGGTATCCTTTCCAAAGGCAGTTGGTAGTTTGCCTTGGCAGGCAAAGAAGGGCAGTTGAAACAGAGAAGACTGCAAGCACCTCCTCTACTACTCTGTAATATACTACCTATAATAGCTATAGAAGCCATATAAAAAGCATGGATAGAAACAAAGCAAAATTAAATTGACAGAAAAATTTTATAGTGCCGATGATTCTAGCACGTGGAATATCTGCCCTGTACTTTGAACTCAACTAGATTTAGAGGGTATATTGTTGTTTTGCAAGCTATGCATTGTGTGAACCAAGTGGCAATACATTATTCTGTAATTCACAGTGCTCACTAGCTTTATATGGCACAGAAATGGACTTTGTTTCACCACACCTGTGAATATGGCTTAGTGGTATGTGACATTGCTTTAGGAGTAAGAAAATTAATGGAAAGAGCCAGCTAAAAGTGCCTGGGCAACAACTACCTGCCAACAGAGAATGGGATGCTTGGAGCTGAAAGTTCATGGTTTAAATCCAGGGGTGGGAAACCTTTTTGGCCCAGATTCCTATCACTCCCTACCCCCTGGGCAGAACAAGCCATCTGTAAATCACTTGAAGTCATTATAGCACCAAATGATTGGTATGCAGGATGTCCCATCCACCTGTCAAAGTCCATCACACGTTTTTTAAAATGTTAGCAGGATGTCAGGCATTTGGGAACTACAGTGCAAGGGGTTTTGCCAGCCCTGCGCTTGCCAGCGCCAAACATATAGCTGGCAAAGCTGCTTTCTGCAGGAATTTGCTGTGCAGTCAAGTTTCCCATGGGAACTCAGTCACTCAATCAATGCAGCTGTTCTGCAGGGATCAGCTGCATCTCTACCTGCCCCACACTTGACATCACATATGATGTCAGATGTGGGGCAAGTGGCCATGGTTTGGGAAAATGAAATTGGGACCTCTGCCAGGCCAAATTTGGCTCATGGGCTAGAGGTTCCCCACCTCTGTTTTAAACATTGGAAATCAGAAGGATTTTTCCATTTCAGCTAAATGGTAAAATAAGTTGTCTCTAGATTGACCTGCCAGTAGGCAGGCAAGTTGTAATGTCTTGAGTTATTGCACAGCCAGGTTTTCTAGGCCAAGTACCATTCTTCTGCAAGTATTAGCCGTACAACTCTAAATTGTAATGCTGAATTTGGCACATATTCACATGAGGTGTGCCCAAAAAATGCCAGTTTATTTTCCTTTGCAAACAATCTCTCAAGCCACTTAAATTTCAAAGGGAGAACTAATTCCTGGGAGTTACTCCTGTGGCTTAAGTATTATCAAGCTATTGCAAAATAGAGCCACAAGGTTGTTAACAGGCCATGTGAAGGGCATGCTGTTGCTTGAAGACCAGCACTGGCTCATTGTTAATTTCTGTACATGATTCAAAGAGATGGTGCTTTTATTCCAAAACTCCACACAACATGGGCCCAGGTTGCCAACACTATATGACCCCACCAACCTGCCTGTGTGCTGTGATCTATCTTGGACACCTTCCTTAGGGTCACACCACCAAATGAGGTAAGACTAGTAGTAATGAGAGCCTCTTACCTGGTGCCTTAACTTAATTATTTTTGAAGCACCAGGCTTTTCTCAGGCTGTTAAGATATGATGAAATCTTAGAACTGCTTTTGATAATTTTATCTTCATGCTTCCTTTTCTTGTTACTGTGATTGATGTTTGTGTTCATTTTCTAATTAACAGTATTTTTATGAATATACATCTTTATCAATAAAAGATGTCCTGGTTTATTTTTCTAGAAGTAGTATATAAGGTCATATAACAAACATTGTCAGTGCCTCACAAATGCATTATTATTGCCCGGCTCCCATGTCTCCAGCTAAAATGATTTGTATTATATTTATACTGTGTAAAGGATTGCATATTGCTTTATTCATAGGTCTCCTCTGTGAAGGAGACCCTGGGAGAATAGGAGCTGATCTCTCCCATTTCCTTTTGCTCATGTGGTTACTCATGCAGTGGGAAAGGAAGTGGTTCCCAGTAATCCCTGGAGATTTCTGATTGGTTTTTGGTGAGCTCATCTGGAATTCCCTACAATCTCCCTCCCCCCACCAAAAAGAGTGATGTCAACAGGAAAAGAGGCTGATGCAACCATGAGCAATTCACTTCTTCTGAAATCTGAAAGAGAAACTGGTTGTGGGTGTGCATGTAGAAGGGTGCTCATTTTGTGCATATAATTCTAGAGGTAGAAGGAACTTTCTCTTCTGTAGAGGAGCTACAATGTACATATTAAAGTAAACTTTTTATTCAACAGATTCCTGGCTTTCAGCAGGTTGATACTGTATTACTTAATACTGTATTAGGTTACTAATGTCATGAGTCTTTTAAGAAGCTGGCTCCGGTTGATCCTTTTTGTTCTGAGAGCCCCATTACCTTTTAATCTCAGTTGGATTCCTGTTACGTGTATTAGCAGTGTAAACCATAGTGGGTTTACTTTACGTGGAAACCATTTGGAATTACCACCATGGTGCATAATGCCAAAGTACCTATTTGAGGTAGAGCTAGATCCTTGAGGTGAAACTGTATCTCAATGTAATTCTCCATAATTCAGTTTGAAGTAAATGTTTTGAAAAGTGTTGCTTCTGTTTCTGCATGTTTGAGAGTACCGTATTTTTCGCACCATAGGACGCAATTTTCCCTCCTAAAAAGCAAGGGAAAATGTGTGTGCGTCCTATGGAGCGAATGCAGGCTTTCGCTGAAGCCTGGAGAGTGAGAGGGGTCGGTGCGCACCGACCCCTCTCGCTCTCCAGGCTTCAGGAAGCTATCCGCTAGCCGCGGCTAGCGGAGCGCTGCATTAATCCCGAAGCTTGGGGCGCGCCTGAAGCAGAGCGCCCCTCGCGCCAGGCATACATCCGCAGAGTGGGGAGCCTTGCAGGAGTTCCCCACAAGGCTCCCCACGCTGCGGATAGCAGCCTGCTGCCTGGCGGGTGGGGCGCCCTGAAGCAGAGCGCCCCTCGCGCCAGGCATACATCCGCAGAGTGGGGAGGCTTGCAGGAGTTCCCCACAGGGCTCCCCACGCTGCAGATAGCAGCCTGCTGCCTTGCGGGTGGGGCGCCCTGAAGCAGAGCGCCCCTCGCGCCAGGCATACATCCGCAGAGTGGGGAGGCTTGCAGGAGTTCCCCACAGGGCTCCCCACGCTGCGGATAGCAGCCTGCTGCCTGGCGGGTGGGGCGCCCTGAAGCAGAGCTCCCCGCCCGCCGGACAGACATCGGCCAGCCCCACAAGCTTGGGGGACAGCAGGGAGGCGCAGCGCCACTATCCCGCTGTTCCTCGACCTGGTTCGGTTTCCCTGACCTGCTTTTGGGGGGGAAATAAAGGGGAAAATTTTTTCCTTTATTTCCCCCCCAAAAAACTAGGTGCGTCCTATGGTCCGGTGCGTCCAATCGTGCGAAAAATACGGTAGATGTTTGGCTCTAAATAGAGAACCCTGGTCTCTGCATTAGTAAAGCAAGTGCTTCACAAGAAGGAAGCCTTTTTGGTGTACTGAAGCAGATTTTTTGTATGGTGACTTCTCTTCATGACAGAGCACCCTCTATGTGTCCTACCAAAAATCAAAAATTATTTTTGCAATACTATGAAAGCCAGCGGGTATGGCATTCTATTATTCAAAGGAGGGGGGTTTCATTGTCTGTAAGAATACTTCTTTCATGCCTTCATTTCAGTGCAGGAGGGGACCCAGTGGGTACAAAGAAAGGCCCTTGCAGGCACATGTGTGCCACATTGGTAACCCCTATTGTTCTGAATACCTATTCTTGCAGCTTCTGGGAATTCAGGGTGTGATTAGATGCTGCAGTTTGCAGGTACAGCATAAGTCTACTTTGTAGCCTTTTTAATGGTAAGAGAATTCTGATCCTTGGGTGTTGCATATTAATCATGGGGCCAATGTACAGTCATGTTTCTGGGGTGGTGTAACACCAAGCAGGCATGATGTGATTATCAGCCTCTTCTCACACCCACATATGATTTGTTTGCACACAAGGATTTTGTAATCTACCATTCAAAGCTGAGAATGGAAATCAGGAAGTTTTTGTTTCTTGGTATAATGAGTTCATTCAACCCCAAAGCAAGCTAAGGAGTGGTGAGGACTGGCATGTAGAAAGCTTCACCTGAAACCTGTAGTTTCTCTTGACACCACCTCCATAATTTATACAAGGTCTGATCCACTGCACTACTTGATCACTTGTATCTAAACAAATGTTGGTTTAACTTCCCATGAAGGGAAATGAACTATATTTGTGGGATTGCATTGAAAACTAATTCCAGATTACCTGCTCTTCTGCAGGATGAACAGATCGACTGGGACAAGCCAGTTCTGTCCCAAACTGAGATTGAGCAAAGGATAAAAGAATACAACAGTCAGATCAACAGCAACCTCTTCATGAGCTTGGTAAGTTTCAGGAGACATATAATTCTTAGCCCTTGTATAACTTAGTAAGGTTAAAAGGTAAAGGACCGTTGGATGGTTAAGTCCAGTCGAATTTGACTATGGGGCGCAGTGCTCATCTCCACTTTCAGGCCGAGGGAGCTGGCATTTGTCTGCAGTCATGTGGCCAGCATGACTAAACCACTTCTGCCACAACGGGACACAGTGATGGAAACCAGAGTGCATGGAAACATCATTTACCTTCCAGCCACATTTACCTATTTATTTACTTGCGCTGATATACGTTTGAACTGCTAGGTTGGCAGTTTTACCTGTATAACTTGGTAGCTGAGCTTCGGAGGGCTATGTCTGCATTTGCTGTCCCATCATTGTAATCCTTAAAATGAAAACTACTGTATAGCAATCATCGCAAGCATATTCCATCCCTGTTTTGATGGCATCCTGTATTTGTAAAAAAACCCTGTTCATTCCAAGGTTTGTGAGAATTAACTTTGGCTTCTTTGCCCCTCAGAGACACTGACTTGTAGCCTGTTTTTATTCTTACTTTTACAACCATGTGACCCTCATGCAATGCTTACTGTACTTCTGCTCCTACAGAACAAAGATGGTTCCTATACTGGTTTCATCAAGGTGCAATTAAAGCTGATACGGCCTGTCTCAGTACCTGCCAATAAGAAGGCGCCCTCTATCCAGGACACCAGGAAGTGCTCCTCACGCAGCCAGGCAGTAAAGCGGCGCACCTCATTCTACCTACCCAAGGACACAATCAAGCACCTGCATTTAATTTCTTGTACACGTGCCAGTGAGGTCATTGAAGCTCTGCTGAAGAAATTCATGGTAGTTGACAATCCCCGCAAGTTTGCCCTCTTTGAGAGAACAGAAAAGGATGACCAAGGTACCTGATCTCCCCCTTCCCAGTTTTTTGAGAAGCCAACATGTAACATATTGCAGACTTCTAAACAGCAGCTTGCCTAGTAACCTGCAGCAAATAAAAATTGGTTCCAGTTGGCCAGGAAAGGAAGGTTTTATCAGATGGGAAGAAGTTCATTTCTTTGCTTAGGTTGTTAGAGTGCAGTGAACAACTAACATAAGTGTTAATGAGCAAAGAGGCTAGTAAAATTTTGTGGGCCCTTAATTTTTGCACTTACTTGTGAAGCTGATTTATTAATACATTGTCTGAAGCCAAGTGATGTAAGCTTAGCAATTAGTCCTAGAATAAGAAGAGGTTGAGAGAAAGCAGTCCGTAAATCATACAGAGCAAGTTTGTTCACTTTCTACTGAAGATTCTAAATATAGTTCTGACTTCATTTTTGAAGTTTCTGCTGATGTAGCAGAGAAGCTTTATATAAGACTGTATTCTCATTATTGTTAATTATAGGTCTGTATTAGAGTGTGTCTCATCATTTTATGTTGCTGCTGACTGAGGCAGGCTGGAAGGAAGAAAAGCTGAATCTTCCTTACATCGGCTTTTCCTGACCTGTTCCCTGCAGCACTGCTTACTAAAAGAAATGGAAATGGAAAACTAGTAGATTAACAGCACCCTCTGCTGGCAAAAAATAGACTGCTTAAAGTAAACAAGGGCCAATCTGATTTGTCCAGGTGACTGTTATACAGAGTCAGGGTGATTGAGTTCTTCATTTAATTCCACTTCTAATGTTCTTGTGTGTCAGTATATCTCCGCAAGCTTTCTGATGAGGAGCAGCCCCTGCGTCTCCGGCTACTAGCTGGTCCTAGTGAAAAAGCACTGAGCTTTGTCCTGAAGGAAAATGAAACTGGAGAAGTCAATGTGAGTATTTGTGTTTATGGTTTGTCTGAGGTTCCATGTCAAGTTATGCATAACTGACAAAGCCTATAATATTTGCTATCAAGTTAACTTATCTTTATCTCAGTAGATAAAAGAAGGGCACTCATGCTCCTAGTTCCAGTTGTGTGGTTGACTTTAACTAGTGATGCAGAGTAGAAACTTTTTCACCACAATTATTTTTCTTGCAGAAAACATTACATTTCTAAAAATGTATTCTTTAACATAATCAGTGGATACAAATTTGTACTCTGTCAGGAAGTTGCACCTTGAACATACATGGTGCACAGCTCTGTGGGTTTGCAAAAATTAGAACAGCTGCCAGTGCTACATTATTTTTCTTTTTAAAAAAATTGGGGTATGTAGGGATGCAATATGTGCTATTTGTCATCGCTTAAAATATTTACATGTGCTCCAGTAAAAAAAGGCCCTTTTGAGTAAAGCTTTGGTTCAAACAGAGCATTTAAACTGAATTAAATTATTCCAGCCTTTCCCCCAATCAAATAGTTGAGTTTTATGGTTGGAAAAACTTGAAGTCAAACATGCTGAACTGGATGCCAATTAATGCTGGGGATCATAACACCTTTTGATTTAATGTATTTCAGAAAAAAACTACGGCTAATTTATAAGTATGAACAAAAGCAGCAGCATACATGCTATCTGTTCTTGTTTCATGTTGACACATGATACATTCTAATAGATGGGAGCTTGAGGGGTTTTTAAGTTAAGAGCTGAACCTTCAGTAAAAAAAAGAATATTCTCTAGTGCATGATTTAAAAATTCAAACATCGTGGCTTGATGACACTTTATTGCCCCATTGAAAATGACCCAGGGACTTAATTGTAGAACAAGATTGATTGTAGAGCAGAGCTGTTAAAGATGATGTTCATGGTAGAAAAAATCTCACATAATGGAATAATGTGGTAGAACATAGTTCCTGTTCTACTCATAGACGCTGTTGATTAATTAATTCCCACGGTCAAGAGTGTATAACATGGGAAAATGAATTATAAAAGGATCTGTTCTACACTGTTCATAGGGATGTCTTAGCATTTGCAATAACAAATGCTTACTTTAGGTTAAAATCTTACCTGAAATCTTGAAAATGCTAGTTATCTGTGCAGTCCTGTTTCAGTATTGTTCCTGAATCTTGGAGCGTTGTGAAATCCAGATATACTACCCTTATACACACTCTGGCTATTTTTCTGCCTTGTTCTACATGCATTCATCATTGACCCCTTGCACCTCTTGCCACAAGTCTAGATTCCCTCCTTACCAGTAAAGCTGTGCTTCTACCTGGAGTACCACTGAGCTCATGACTGTAATACTAATACAGGTGCCATCAGCACTGTGGTCACTACTTCCTTTTCACATTTTTCTGCAGTGGGATGCCTTTAGTATGCCTGAGCTACAGAACTTCCTGCGTATCTTGCAGCGTGAAGAGGAAGAGCATATTCGACAGATCCTGCAGAAATATTCCCATTGCCGCCAAAAGATGCAAGAGGCTCTGGCCACCCGCACACCAGGTTGACAAGGTGCTCCATCCCAGACCCAGCACTCCAGTAAATATAAGATGCCAGATGCAGAGAAGTGGTGAAGCCAAGAAGACTACGAGTGAAGCGATCCTGCGATTGTGTGGGTTGAATGTATCTCTGGAGGGGCGTAGGGTGGGAAGGGACAACAGGGGTTTGTGAGCCCGTGACTGGTGCATGTGTGTGTGCTCTCCACGGAGTGAGTGGTTAATAGAGATGTTGCATGCATGATGCAATGGGATCAGTTGGGGAAGTAAGGAAGTGCCTGTGGTATGTGTTTGAAGATGAGAATTTGAGTAGCCTTGCTACAGCAGCTACTTTCAAAGTGCCAGGATGCTAATGCCACTTTTATACCTACAGTGTGTCCAAATGAGGGTTATGTGGACTTGGTGTAAAGATCACTTGAGATTTAACATAAGCAAAATAAATCAAAGTGGCCTCAAACTCTGATGTATTCCCAAGAAGGGAGGTGGCCTTAGAAAGCACCTTCCTTCAAAATATCATTTTTGTATTTCTATTGGAATCAAACTTTGAAAGGCCCATGGATTGATCTATATGTTCAATCATGTCTTTATTTGTCGAGATTGATACTGATTCATATAACAGTAAGACTGCTAGCAGAATAGAACTACCTGCCTATATGGACTTTGCTCAGACTGTGGTCATAAAAAACAATGAAGAAAAAGTCTGTTGACTCCCATCTCAGATGGATCTGAATAGGAGTCAAGAGTAATTGAACCAGAATCAAAAAATGCCAAAGGAAACTCTGATTAGCAGAACCCAAAGAAAAGGCAGAGTTCCTGATTATTTTTCTGATACATAGGAAAGGACATGCAGACCAAAATGCACCATAATTGCAATAAAAATAGTATCTAGAAATTATATTTGGACTATGGTTGATTCCTCAGAAAAAAATGACTATAAAAAACAATATAATATAGAATAGTATGGTAAGAGCAGTGATCAAGGACCCCCAAATAACCCATGGAAGAAGGAACAGAGAGACACTTTTTATTGCCCAGACAGAATTTTGTCTCTAGTTATTAAAAATCTGAAAACCAGGGATGTAACATCATCAAGATTCAGGTTTCTCTTCTGCTGAAGGCAACCATAGCTTTGGCCACCCTCCTTTATATGTTGCAATCTCTCATAGACATGCATGAGAGGCATTGGTGTATGTCTTGAAAGGCAACCTTGACTTTGGCACGACCTGGCACTACTACTCTGTGTAGTAGCTGAACTTCATTGGTGGAGGGGGTATTTGTACTTCAATAAGTGTTTGTTCTTTTTAAAGTCCGAAACACTCTGAAACACTCTCCAGACCAGGTATCCACAGGAAAATGGACCTCCTAGTCTTGGCTGACCCTTCTGGAGAGTAGTTTTTCAAATCAGGACTGTCTTGTTATCTGTCTTGAGAATCCAATGGATTAAAAACCTTGGGGGCTCAGGTTATGAATGGCGCTGCTTGTATACAAATCAATAAAAGATTCAGGGGTGAGAAATGTGTGGTGTAATATGTGTTTGAGAACTACTACTTTGTTGGGACAATAAGGTCATTCCACAGTCGATAAACTAGAGAAGTATAAGTAGAAAATGCAGTTCTCCCATTAAGACTGTACTCCTCTTCTGTGCTCCTAACTCTGGCCATTTGCCACCCACCTCTCAGATTTCCACAAGGACATCCAAGAGTTGGTATGAAATCAAAAAGTAGATATATGATAGATTAGGGTCAAATCAGGGTCCACCACAACTTTGAATTACAGCATCCTAGGATGGTTTCAGTTTGGTGTAGATGCCAATGAGAGAATCTCTAAAATGCAATCCTTATTTTTCAAAACATTTTCTGTTGCTGATTGCCCCTTCTGATACCCAAACTATATTTCAAAGCAAGAAGCAGTTTGTATTTAAAGGTAAAGGACCCCTGACAGTTAAGTCCAGTCGCGAACGACTCTTGGGGTTGCGGCGCTCATCTCTCTTTACTGGCCAAGGGAGCCAATGTTTGTCCACAGACAGTTTTTCCGGGTCATGTGGCCAGCATGACTAAGCCGCTTCTGGTGAAACCAGAGCAACGCACAGAAATGCCGTTTACCTTCCTGCTGGAGCGGTACCTATTTATCTACTTGCACTTTGACGTGCTTTCAAACTGCTAGGTTGGCAGGAGCTGGGACCGAGCAACGGGAGCTCACCCCATTGCGGGGATTCAAACCGCCGGCCTTCTGATTGGCAAGCCCTAGGCTCAGTGGTTTAGACCACAGCACCACCCGCGTCCCCAGTTTGTATTAAGGTGACTATTGGCTCTGGAATTGAAGCAGAATAGGTGACGCCTAAACAAAATCCCTTCCTTAGAACAGACAGTTGTTGAGCCCTCAAGACCCCACAGGACATCACATGCAGAAGATGTTGATGCAGTTATGTAAATCCATGTATTTAGTGTTTCCCAACCTTGGGCCTCCAGCTGTTTTTGGACTACAACTCCCATCATCCCTAGCTAGCAAGACCAGTGGTCAGGGATGATGGGAATTGTAGTTCAAAAACAGCTGGAGGCCCAAGGTTGGGAAACACTAAGCCTTTTATATCTCCCACAACTGCCTTGGTGCCTGCTTCCAATAATGATGTCAGGTACATTGGGATCCACAAGCCATTTCATATTATTTATTTCATTTTGCATATTTATAAACACTTCATAGCCAAAGGTACATAAGATAAAATATATAAAGACACATTCAAAAAACAATAAAACTTTCTTTTTCATACCTTGCAGTTCAGGCCTAGGCAGGATAGAGTACTGTACTTAACAAATATCACCTGCAAAACAAAAATCCGGTGTGGCTGCTGGCTACCAAAGTGGTCTGCTGAAGGCACAGCAGACTACACATAAACCCCAGAATATCATAGAGACTCCCTAAGGACCAGAGACAGTGTCATCCATACCTCAGTGCTGCAGAATCCTCAGTCCTTGTCAAATTGTGGCCATACAGTTCCTCTGTACTTAACGAATTGCTCTTTGTCAAGCTTGCGGGTTGGGCGCCATCCTGCTGGCAAAATTATTTTTCAGTCCAATAACTTGTGAACTAGATTTTTATAGCCAAAGCATGGGTCCTTTTGCATGTGATTTTCACAAAACACTTCAATACATCTCCATTTTCAACAACAGGAAAATGTATGCTGTGAAAGGACTTAAAAGAGTTACCCAGTTCAAGAACAATTCTGAACTGGATTTGTCATTACTAGTGATGTCATAGCCAAATCAGGCTATATAGTGTCTTATGAACGTCATAGGAGCCTGCTGGATGAGGCCAATGGCCCATCTAGTCCAGCATCTTCTGACAGTGACCAACCAGATCGCTGTGAGAAACCCACAAGCAGGATTTGTGCTCAAGAGTACTTCCCCGACTCCTGTGGTTTCCAGCAGCTGGTTGGTATTCAAAAGCATTACTGCTTCCAAAATGACATCCAGTTCATTATGTGATTCCCATTTCAGGTTGGTGGTTCATATTATCAAGCTGACAACCCAGTGTAAGAGGGGCAGATGTAAAAGATCAAGGAAAAAATGCCAGTGAATAGGAATTTTTGCATAATTTAGGGTATGAGGGATACATTCTGCCTCTGAAATACAGTGGTACCTCGGGTTACATACACTTCAGGTTACAGACTCCGCTAACCCAGAAATATTACCTCAGGTTAAGAACTTTGCTTCAGGATGAGAACAGAAATCATACGGCAGCAGCGGGAGGCCCCATTAGCTAAAGTGGTGCTTAAGGTTGAGAACAGTTTCAGGTTAAGAACAGACCTCCAGAACAAATTAAGTTCTTAACCCAAGGTACCACTGTATACTTTTGGCCTGAAGATCAAAAGAGGTGGATTTTCAGTGCAGCCCTAATAACTGAGGAGAGAGAGGAAGACCGCTGATAATTTTGTTTACGTCTCAGCTTTAAATATATTTTCATGGATGCAGTTTATATTGTTCTGGAAATAGAAATTGGCTTGGATATGCAATTGCTATGGACTTTTAAGTCATTTTTTGCTTCACCTTTCCCCAAACACTGCATCACACTGCACCTGTTTATTAACATGTTTGTTGGGAATAAGTCCCGTTGACTTGAGGTAGGTTTTTCAGCATTGCAGCATAAAATCATATATAAAAATGTAACAGAAATTGGAAGCGTACCAGTGAGGCCATTGAAGCTACAAATAAGTAGGACTGCAAATTTGGGTATTTCTTTGTTAAAATAATTTAATATAGGTAATCTGAATTTCTTGAATGACAGTTTATTTTTACCAGAAAGGTAATTTGTTTGGAAACCAGTTCACATACTGACCTCGCTACTTGCATCAGTCTGCTTGTAGCAGCATTTGCATTAATGGAGGCCAGTCATCTTAGGTGTGTTGGAAGTGTAGTTTTGAGCACTGGACTCTGATGGAAGAATTATAGCTGTCGATCTCAATCGTCCTATTGAGAACATGGATCCTGCTTCCCCCACCCACTCTCGCCCTACACAGTCAGCCCGCTCTCACCTCCACAAGGGAGCGGAAGTTGCGTCACGCCGCGGCCTCGCTACAGAGCGGCGCTTTCGACCTTCTTTTGGAAGCGGACTTCCGGAGGCGGCGGACCTGGAAGTTGCGTCGCCGGGAGAGGGGCGGAGCTTTCCGGTGCGGGGAAGGTGCCGTTGCCAGCAGCCTCCCCGGAGGCACCGGCAGGCTCCTCTCCCTCCCTTCGCTCCCCTTTCCCGGCCATGCGGCCGCTCTGAGCCATGGGCGCCAGCGGCTCCAAGTCCCGGGGCCTCTGGCCCTTCGGCTCGGGCGGGCCGGGCGGCTCCGAGGGGCCGGGCGGGGACCAGGCTCTGGCCCGGGCGCGGGGACTCTGCTCGGCCACCCCCTTCGTCTTCACCCGCCGCGGGTAAGAGCAAAGCCGGCTGCTGCCGCTGCTGCTGCTGCTGCCGAGGGAGCCGCGGGAAAGCGAGGGAGGGAGGCCGCCCTGACCTGGTCGTAGACCTTGCAGAGGCGGCGGCGGGGCTCCATCTCAACCCTCCCCGGTGCTCGTCCGCTTTCCTAACCCCTGACCCCGGTGCGACGCAGGGACTGGCCAGGCTGCTTCCTTCCCCTTGCGTCCGCCTCATCCAGTGGACGGAGATGCGGCGCTGACCTTATGCCAGGGAAAGCGGGTTTTTCTTTCCCGCGGGAGAGGCTCCGCCTGGCGCTTCTGGGGCCGCTTTCTGAAGCCTCCCTTGCGCCCATGGGTCCCTAACATGTGCCGCTTGCAGCTCCCCCACCCGCAGTGGTGTCCGGAGTCTTCCTCCTCGCTCTCTCCCTCCCCCTTGCAGAAAGCCTCGTGGGCGCATGTTGCAAGTTCGGTAGTTTAAGGGCTCTGCCGGCCCTCAGCTGGTCTCTAAGGTTGTGGTGCCCGAAGAGTTTGCCGGGCAAAGGGCGAGATTTTGTTTTCTGCGCGCCATCATGGTGCAAAGAGGTTTCATGGAGGTAGGGGCAATGTTCAGCTACTGAATATTGGCTTCCAGGTAATAGTATCTGCTTGTGCATGCCTCCTGGATTTAGATAAGACTGTCTAACGCTCTGTTTTCCTTGTTGTCTGACATTTGCTTTATAGCACCTCTTTGCTCCAAAGCTCACCTCATACTGTTTTTATGTAGATGTTGAATTGCAGCCTGAAGTATTTGGCAACAACAAACCATTCTGTAAAACCACCTAGGTGTTTTTTGAGAAATTTAGAAAGTTTTTTGGACCAGTTTGTGGGGATAAGCCTAGATTTATTCCAAGCTTGTAAAGTCACTAGCATAGCAAGAAATGTGACAAGCGCATTCTAGTGGCTGGGAAATAGTGCCTCCATTAGGTCCTTTTGCACTATTGTTCCCTTGCCAGCTCTTAAATTAGTAAATTTTCAGCTGTGCCAGAATGCCTGCCTTCTTCCAAAGTAATGACTGGCATCTGTATTTCCATTCTAGCTAGGCAACTGGCCAGATGTTGAATCAAATGCCTTTGTTGGCAGACTGGCTGCAAAATTTCTATATCACGGAAACAAAGGTGTCATTTTCATTTTGAGTTGCACATTTTTGCTATTTTCTATTTTCTCATTCCTCCCCCCCCCTCAATGTATCCTGAGAATTCCTGTGGATTTTCATACAGTCTGCTATGAATGTGGCAATACAGCAAAGAAATGAAAAAGTTACTGAATTCTGAACACTGCTTTGCTGAAGCAGTTGAGTATGTTAGTGAGGAATGTTCAAATTTAGACTTGACAGAATTCCAGTTTCGTAAGCTTTGGGCAGTTGTTTAAAAGTGGCAGAAATACCGTTTTAACCATTCTGTTGCTGGTCAGGAGCTGTTGGCATTTATGTAGCAGAAGTGGTTATCCAATTCTGTCAGCATTTTACCTCCAATAAATATGTTAAGAAATCAATCATTATGGTTAATTATGATTAATTCTAGTTAAATGCCCATTCTGCTTAAATGCAACCATGACACTTTTCTACGCTTTGGTTTTGCCATGATATAAACTTGTTTTAAATCAAATGCTGTCTCCCTGAGGAGAATCTGACATCTTGTCACTTCAGTTGTTCCACCAAGTGTTTCTCTTTTTACTCTTGGCAAAAATTAATCAGGTTTGTAAGGTAGTCTTCAATATGTGTCTGCACATGACTTGAAATGTTACTGTGTTAGAGCATCTGTTTTGCATACAGAAGCACCCAGAGTCAATTCCTAAGATCTCCAGGTAGGGCTGGGGAAGATCTCTACCAGAAGCCTTGGAAAGTTGATGCCCGTCATTGTAGGTAATATTGAGCTAGATGGTCTGACTTGATAGAACACAGCTTTTTATGTTATTACTGGGATGGAATATGATCTCAAGAATTGCCATCTGTTTGATGGGACTGCGTTCACTGTGAGTTTTGTGAAAAAGTTCATTTGTTCTGTGTAAACTATTAGTGCAAGGGTGGGCAACCTGTGGTAATACTGGTTGGGAGAGTAGGTTGATTAGCAGTAGTATGGTTTCTGCTCCTTTTAGACAACCGTTGTGCAGAATTTCCCCTCACAATTAACCTTCTCCTTACTGTAGTGCAAGGGATGAGGAGCTAAGCAAATGGGTGGCAGCAACAGCTGCCAGCTAGCTGGCTTGCTACTAGCTCTCAGCCGCAGATTTGAAAAGCAGCTGCTTTTGCTTCTTCTGTCTGAAGCTTTTTCTAAATGTTTTTCATTTCTTCGCAGCTCTATGTATTACGATGAGGATGGTGACCTTGCCCATGAGTTTTATGAGGAGACAATAGTCACCAAAAATGGGAGAAAGCGTGCCAAGCTGAAAAGAATCCACAAGAACCTGATACCTCAGGTAACACAATCAGAAGTAAAAGGGAGCTGTTGCAAAGTGGTTTCAAGCTAACACTTGAGGATACTGAGCAACAAGAGAGTCTCTGAGTTTATACCAAGGGTAGCTAACCTGCTGCCTTCCAGCTATTTCTGGATTCCCATCAACCCCAGCCAGTGGTCAGGCATGATGGGAGCCGTAGAGATCTGGAGGCCCACACGTTGGTCATTCCCATGTGATTCCTTTGAATTTTCATAGAAGTGGTTTTCTACCTTGCCAACTTCATAGTACAGTAGTACCTCGGGTTACAGACGCTTCAGTTTACAGACTCTACTAACCCAGAAATAGTACCTCGGGTTAAGAACTTTGCTTCAGGATGAGAACAGAAATTGCACAGTGGCAGCAGGAGGCCCCATTAGCTAAAGTGGTACCTCAGGTTAAGAACAGTTTCAGGTTGAGAATGGGCCTCCAGAATGAATTAAGTTTTTAACCCGAGGTACCACTGTATTGTCTTCTGGAATACTGGATTTGATTGTTTGTGGGGACACTAAGTACCAGCCTTCATCATGTCCAGCAACAATGGTTGCTTCTGTATTGGCCATTTTGAAATCACTACAGATGCAGTTCTAGGAGTCTTTGTCAACCTTCACTGGGATTTTTTTTTTAAACGGTGACAAAACAACCTAATTTTGAAATGCTTGTTCAGGTTCTTGTATTCAGCAACTGTCACATTCTTGAAAGAACATCAGCCACTTTGAATTTCTCTCTTTTGAGCTAGTGATAAAAGACCCAGATGCCTCATTTCTGGAACTGGATTGTAGTAAATATGAGCGCTTTCATAACATTCTATATTGGGTTATTGAGGATTTCGTAATGAATGATGGGAACATAATAAATATTTCATTATTGTTTGAAATGATTTTATCCTGCTTTTTTGCAACCTCATGTCAGCTTAGATCAAATACATTAGTCATATTGAACCAAAGTAATTTAAGACAAAGCAATCCGAGTTTTTAATAATAAGATTACATATCATGGCATAAATTAGCAGGCATATGATTTGCAACGTAGGTGAAATTTGTACCCTGTCTGGATTTAGGAGAAGAGAGAGCAGCTCCATTCTTCCTTAGGGAAGCGGTTCCACAACCTTGGGGCACTAATTCTTAGGATGAATTACTGTACATCCACACCTGTGTAGGTGGCCCAAATAGATATTAATACTGCTGTTAGGTACGAATGTTGTTCTTGTAAGATCCCTTCATAGTAGTAAACACACATGGCCTAGATCCATGGAACTGTGCACTGTGGTCCCAAGAGTTTGAATTTGTGTTTCAAATGGCTTGAGGGAGTATCTGCTGTTGGAAGAGGAAAAATCAAACATTTCATTGGGTATGTCTAAAGTAGCTCATTGAGTCTCAGCCCTTGCTGAAATCATGGGTAAAGTTTGCCTGATCAGTTTACCGTGAGAATGAGAGGAGGCTAAAAAGGCAAGCCTTACTGAACATGAACTGGTGTGTTGGGAGGCTTGTGGAACTGCTTCTGGTTAAAACCAGTGCAAAATACTGGTGACTATAGCTGTGTAAATGAGCAGAGGAGAAAATAACAGCTACTAGTGGATAAGAAAGCTGCAGTTGTAATGGACAGTGTTTTGCATCAACAACAAAAATTCAGATTCTTGGGAGTCACAAGGTTCCCTATCATTACAGAGAAGGCAAGGCAGTGCTGCCTCAAATTTTAGTCAGAAAGTAATACGGCTTGTGATGACTTGGTAAAATTGTAGATGCGACTGGTTGGTATATGGTAGAATTTCATGCTGGAAACATGATGTGTAAAGTTCTGTTGGTTCTGGGCTCACTTGAATGAAACTCTTAATGATGACCCAGCACTTGAGAAGAGAAGGATAAAGAAGGCTTGTTCTTCTGTTGTCTGTCCTATATGTGGACACTGCTTCCTTGGAGGTTTTTAAGCAGAAATTGGATGGTCATCTGTCTTGGATGCTTTAGTTGAGATTCCTGCATTGCAGGGGGTTGGACTAGATGACCCTCGGGGTCCCTTCCAACTCTTCAGTTCTATGATTCTGTGCCTATCTCAAGAGCTTCTGACACCTTTTGTTGAGCACTACAATCCCAAAGATAAGGAAAAAGGTAACTGTTTGTAAAGCAGTAAGTGTAAAATCTTCACTGTAGATGTACCTAAGTATGGGAAGTGTGGAGGGTCCGTTATGGCTGTCATAACCAGGGTTTGATTTTGCCTTGACAAAAGGTTACTCTTCTATCCATCCTGATTGTGGACCTATTGAGCAGCTTGATTCTGTCTTGTAGCTAGCACACCAGAGAACGTTGTTGGGTATGCATATAGTTCAATTGAAAATACAAGTCTGGTTATCTGGTGCTATTTATAGCCATTAACTATAAAAATCTTCCTGTGGCTACTGTTTCTATAAGCATCTTTGGGGGGTGTTCTTTGCTAATGCTTTTATATTATGGACTTCTAGAGCAGTGTTTCCCAACCTTTTTTGGGCAAAGGCACACTTGTTTCATGAAAAAAATCTCGAGGCACACCACCATTACAGCCCCGTGACGTCAGCGCGCAGTGTCACACCGGGAGGGACATGAATTGCTAGCAAATTACATAATCACCTCCTTGAGGGCTGGCTCATCTTCTCCGAAGGCAGAACCCCATTAATTAACAGCACAGACTCACACCATAGCCAAGACGAGGGGGAAAAACCTCAGTCATGCACAGTCATGCACATGTGGGGGCTAAATGAGGACGAAGACCGGGCAGAGAGCAGGGTTCAAATCACCCCACCTGGCCAGGACAATCCCTGGGTGCTCCCTTGGGCCACTCGCCTGACCCACCTCGCAGGGCTGTTGTTGCGAGGATAACACGGGGAGAACCACGCGCGCCCCCGGGAGCTCCTTGGAGGAGAAAGCGGGCGATGAATGCAATGCACGAAATATATGAGAGGCGACCAGGTTTTGCAGGTGAGGGGCCCCCGCCAGCCTCCGCTTCCAACACCCAGCGCAACGACGCCGAAGTTTCCCCCCGGGCTCGGCTCGGGGAGCAGCGCTGCTCCCCCCGGCTCCCCTTCGCCCTCCCGGCTCTCTCTGCCGCCCACTGGGGACCCCCCTCACCTGCCAAGTCCGGAGCGCCAGTGGAAGTTGCATGCATGCATGCAGGGCGCCGCGTTGCCATTGCATTGCACTGCACTCCATGCAACGCCTGCACGCATGCATTGCCTTGCACGCCCACCAAGGGGTCTCCCCGCGGTCCGATGCGTCCCCTCCGGCGCGGATGCAGCATTGCAAAAATAAACACACACCCCCGACGCAGCCCTACCTGGGGGGCAGCCTCCGCCTCCACCGCTCCGCCTCTGCGCGGATCCCCGGCCTCCATCCTGCCGCCCGATCTCCGCGGGGGCGCAGGCAGGCTGCGCGGGGTCTGCGCGGAAGAGCCCCTGCCCGCCCGGCCGCCGCCGCCGTGCTCATTCCATGGCCGGGAGAAGAGCACTTCAAACAAAACGCCCGGCCCGCCAGGCCACGCTGGGAAACGTAGTTTGCGCACCCCGCGCGGGCGCGGAGCCCAAGGGCAAGGGGACTACGGATCCCGGCAGCCCCCGCGCCGGGGACGGAGGGGGAGAGGCCGGGTGCAGGGATGGAGGGACAGGTGGGCGAGCGAGTGAGTGAGTGGCAGCCGCCAAGCCTTGGCCGAGAGCCAGGAAGGGCCTCCCCGGAGGAGGAGGAGGAGGAGGGAGGCGCAGAGCGGAAGGGAGGGAACCCCAGGGGTCATCTAGTGACGGCGCCCCAATCGAAAATTTGACTTTTAAAAAAAAAATCTTTCAATTTTTTAATTTTCCCCGCGGCACACCAGGCAACATCTCGCGGCACACTAGTGTGCCGCGGAACAGTGGTTGGGAAACACTGTTCTAGAGGCTTCCATAACATCTTGCATTTGCCATTTTTCAAGTAAAAGTAGTGATGAAATATTTTCACTTCTGCGCTGTGGCTCTCAATATTGCTTGTGGCGTATAATTCTCTTGAGAAGTGCTGGACCAAGTTTGTCAAATACCACTAATGCATGACCAGTTAGTTTTATGAGGCAGTACTTGGAGGTAGCATACCTTCCAATCAATTTATTGTTGGAAGAATCTGAATGCAGCCAGCGTGTCCTAGATGACCACATCTTGACTTAATAAACTGAGATATGAACAAGCGTTTGCATGTTTGCACAAATCTGCTTTGTTCCTCCTTCATGCAAGGAGGCAAACAAGCCAGCAGGCCATTGTTAAACATAGCTTCCTGTTAAATGTCCAAACTGGGAAGTGTTGATTAATGGTTTCCAGTGAAGCCAACTTTAAACCTTCATCTCCTGACCTATCTGTAAGCTATGGTTTACTGGAGCTTCTTGGCTTGCTTGTCTGCTTGTGCATATAGAGGGACAAGGCAGATATATGAAGCTTGTTAGCATCTCCATTTGTTAATCCAAGATGTGATTATCCAAGTTTATTCACTTGGCCAAATTCATATAAACTCACTTATTAGCCTTGCTTTAATCAGATGAGTTTACTTTCTAGTCCATTGGAAGCTTGGCGACTTTCTCCATTCCATTAGCCTTCAGCAAGAATGGAAAACATCTGAATTACTTAAGGCCAAAGTAGATGGCAGCATGAAAGATGATTGGTGGCAGGTTAAATTGAGTAAATGCCATGATTCTGAGAAGGGGGGATTATTAAAAAAATCTCCCCTGAATGCTTTTCTGTTCAAATCTCTCCTCTTCCCCCCTCCCCAGCTGCTATTTAACCTACAGGACAAAACCTATATAGGGACCTAATAACTTTGCAGTGGAAAGGAGGTTCCATTGGGAAATGGCATGGTGTGCAAGAGTTGAACATAAATACCTAATAAAGCAAAAAACAAAAAACATTAACTTCCTTCTCACAAACACATTTAAAAGGCCATAGAATGTTTAATTGGCCAAAGGCCTGCTTAAAGAGAAATGTTTTTGCCTGGCGACTGAAGATATGTATTGAAGGTGCCAGGCGAACCTTCCCAGGGGGAGCATTCCAAAAATGGGGAGCCACTGCAGAAAAGGCTGCATTCTCACGTTGCTGCCCTCTGAGCCCCTTGTGGAGGGAGCACACAAAGAAAACCTCAGGTGATGATTGCAGGGTCCAGGTCAGTTCATATGGAGGGAGACGGTCCTTGAGGTATTGAAGTAACTGGCCGTACATTTCCAGCTCATGCAGTTTTCTGATCCTTTATCTCAATTTGTTCCTGTCTAGTTTCTAGATAGAGTTCATACCCATGACCTAACACAAATAGCCCAGTTGCTTTGGTATGGCTTTGGGGCCAGAAGCCATTAAGCAAGGAACTGTATTAACTCGACTGGCACCATGTCCCTTTATTCCACATCATTTTTGGCCTGATTTCCAAGTGGCATTATCTCATCCTTGTTGCATCTTTCTCTTTACAGGGCATAGTGAAACTGGAGCACCCTCGGATACATGTGGACTTCCCTGTTATCATCTGTGAGGTCTGAGCCATGGAGGGGAGTGTGAACTGTCAGTGTGTGCTATCAAGGCACCTTACTTGCCCAGTTTTACTGTACCTCACGTAAACCAAGCTAGGCAGCCACGTCTCCCTTCAGAGTGATGGATCAAGAGCACAGACGCATGGTTAGCTTTGAAGCTTGTCTGCTAGGATGAGGCGGCAACGGCTACGGCACTGACGGCATCATGGGATCGTATAATCAGGAATAGCATTGGCTAGGAATGTGTGTTGGTAGGACCTGTGTCAAGTGAGATGTTTGGCCTTGTTTAGTGACCTCCTCAAAAAATCCCCCTTGCTGAATTGAGTGAAATCCAACAGATTCCAAGTGTCTTGAGACCACGGAGAACCGACCTGCACCTTTTTCTGACCGGGTGGCCTGCTTTCTGAGTTCCCCATCAGTATTCTTTAAATGCTGACAACGAAGTTTCTGTTTATATGCTGTATATGAGAGTAAAGGTGAGCAGTAAGCAGCTTGTGCTTCTCCACCCCTTTCCTCAACGTAACATAACTGAATAATCTAATGCTGTACTGTACTTGGAGGGGTGGAGGATGATAACAGAGCTGTACCTAACAGAGTTGTCCAAGGCAGGGTTCCCTATTGAAACAGACTGATGTGCAAGCCTTGCTCCCCCTCTCTCTAATATCTTCCTAGTGAGTTGCACTATTTCCTTTGCAGGCAGTGTCTTTTTCAACTTCACTGCTTGGAAAATTCCACTGACTTCTTCCTATGCTGTGGCACATCAGTAGAGGCTGTTGGCAGCAGCAGCATCTGAGCTTGCAGTTTTCCTGTGGAGCCTTACCAAACAGGCCACCTCTTAGAAGGCGTTTGTCGACAGGTTCTGGTTTCGTTCCAAAGTAGACTTCCTTCTTGTGAATCTGCATCTTGTGACTGGGTTGTATTCAACTGGCTTTTACATGGGAGTATTCCCATTAAAATTAATAGACCATGGTGAATTGGTCATGGTAATTAATTTCAGTGGGTCTACTCTGAGTAAAAAGTGGAGAGTGCAAGGCAGATTGCCATTTCCCTCCCCACTCCATTCTTACTGCTGACATTTCTCTCTCTCTCTCTCTCTCTCTCTCTCTCTCTCTCTCAATTAAAACAGAAATAGGTAACACTGTCCTTTTAATCCTTAGGTTTTGCTGTTGGCACTAAGGCAACTTACGTTGCTTTGATCAAAATGTTTACCAACCTGATTGTATGCTTCCCCTGCTCCTTTCCTCCAAAGGAAAACAAAACAAAACAATAATGTACTGTGATCTTCCTTTGACAGTCTCCTTGACTCTTTGGATTGGGCCAGGTATTGCCTGATATGGGAGAATGCAGCACACTTTAAAGGAAGGCTATGTGTGTTGGGAGGGCTCTACCCTTTCCCCCAATGTATGAATGTGAAATGTTTGGTTTGTAGGGCCACTTCCCAAACTTGACTTGAGTACCACTGGTAGCTATATGTGCTGAAGTGGTACACCTGCCTCTCCTTCCCAAGTTTTTGCTTCTAAGATTTAGAGCTACCTGCTGCTGAAAACTGAACAGGCAAAACCCTGTCAGAGGCACTCTTTATCTTTTGAAGACGGTTTCATATGCAATGCCTGCCTGCCTGCCTTTTCTGCCAACTCTCAGAATTTATATAAAGCTTTAAAACCGAATTGTGGGCGAGTTAGCTGCAAGAGTTGGTTCATTGCACAGCATATTTTCCTTCCCGGAGCATGTCATTGCCTTTCTGAGCACTTCAGGCATTTGCTACCTCAATGTTTAGTTTAAATTTGCTGGTGCAAAGCTGTGCCTGCCAGCAGCATCAATAAGTTTGTGTCATCTCTGCACCTACATGGGAATCCTTTTTAAGCACTACAAACCAGGTTAGAAACAGGGTGGAGTTTAAGTGGCAATGTTGACTGAGCTCTCTATTCAGTGACTGTCACATTTGCCTCGCTGTCGCCCTTTCAACTGTATGCCGAGGGTTGTATGTTAGGATTGTTCCTTAGTGCACGGTGGCTTCCTGAGTTGCAGCTGCTCTTCCATGCAGAACTTGTGTATTACTATACAGGTGTAGAACTATACAGTTAACCATAAAAGGGTAAGAGCATAAGCTGTTGGCATTGGCCCTGTGTCATATTTCCATCCTCCATCTTCACGTGTCACTTATCTTTTGGTTGAATCTCATTTGGGTAATGATGGGAAGCTGGCATCTTTATCCTTCATTGGGGAAGGGAGTGTCCACTACCAAAACAAGAGCATCCCGGGGGTGGAGGTGTGTTTGCAACACTCATTGGAAAGCAAAGCTCTGCCTCTGCATTATTGTGCTTTACGAGTTGCAGGCTGAAATCAGTGGGAGGAGACTTCCTTATTCTTGAACAGTATAGTTGACAACAGATATCAAGCCTGCCGTTTAGAAGTTTTGCCCCACAGCTAGTTCAGAAGAAGCACTTTGCTGTATGTGAGGGTTGTTTGTTGCATCTTCATACTAGAGAGTTTTCTCTGTTACCTAGAGATTTTTCTCTGTTACATGGGACTTGATAGTCATGAGATACTGGGAGTGAAAGGCTCGGTGGTGACACCCTTTGCAATTTCCTAAAATACCCAATTTATGTTATTTCATTAGCTGTCTTGGTTTTGAGCAAGCAAATACCCTGTGGTCAGAAAAGAACTGTGCAATGTTGGCTTTCATTTCCCCCGCCACTTCTAGTGCTTATATCCATCCTGCTGGGGACCTCCCTCCTACTGGAACCTAAATGGAGCCCGTACCCAGAGAAAGCTTCATTTCTGCCTAGCTTGAAATTTCTCCTAAGATGTAGCAGACTCCCTGGAGCTACCGGCAGCTGCTTTCAATCCATTTCTCTAAAAGGCTGGCTTGCCCACTGAGACTGTAGCTGTGCAGTTAAGACTTCCTGGATTTTATAATCCTACCGATCCTGTCCCTCTCATTGTGCTTTCTGGCAGCCCCATTTCTCTTGAGAGTGGCAGCTGTTGTCAGGCTCGGGAAGACGGCTTTATACAGGATGCTGATAATGTGAAAGTTGGTGTAAATAATATATATATATATTATCACTATTGTTGGAACAAGCAAAAAGTTCTATTTCCTTTTTTATTACCCTTCTGTGCATATGTGGTTGTGTAGAAGACCCGAACCCACTAGCACTACACTTCCTGCTCCTATAGCATACGGATAGGAACCCTGAAGGCAAATGTGTAAAATATTTATGGTTTGTTTCTCTGCCTTGAAGTGCATTTGTTGAATTTTGTTAAATTTCAATAAAATTATTTGTAAGTCCCAGAACTTTACTTTCTGTTTCTGATTGTCAATTGGTAGTGGATCATCACCCGTTAAAATGAAGGAACTGGTAGGCCCTTTTGATTCTAAATGAAAGTAAATCTCTTCTCTCTTTGTGCTGCTCTGTTAAGCAAGCTACCTTAAGGCACCCTGCTAATCTTGCCTAATGCTTGACCTTATTTTTCTGAAAACCAGCATTCTTAAATGGTTAGTTTTGTGGCTTGTGGCCTAAATGCATTTCAGACTATGAACTGATTTTTCTAACATTGTCTCTTGACTGTTTTGGAGCTTAAGTTCAAGCCATTGAGTTATGCTTAGAACTCAGTTTGTAAATAGAGCAGCCAGCGGTAGCTTAGTCCTCCTACAGCATCTCTGCAAATTTAAGCTTATCTCCTTATCAAGCTTTACACAACTGTGCTGCCCTTGCATAAGGCTGTAAAGCCAAGTGCAGCTGCTGCTACTCTCATTCCAAATACAAATGTCCACCTACAGTCATTCCATTTGGAGTACTGATGGACAAATCGATCTTATTTCTGGTGTCTCAATTTTTCACCCATAAACCCATTCTAAATCTGCACATCTGTGACTTTAACTCCAAAAAATCATTTTAAAATGTTTTTATCTCAATGTACACATTTCTGAATGTATTTACTCTTAAATATTTTTTTGCACATTTTTGTACATTTCTTGAGTTGAGAACTGTATCCCAGAGAAATGGGAAATCTGAAGGGATTATTATGTTCCAATAAGTGTATTTGTTTGTGAGGTGCAAATTAGGTCAGTTTGCTTAAAAATGAGGGCCAAACAATTTTCCTTCCCTGACTTGGGGTAACTAATTACTGATCTCAGTTGGAATGATTTTCTATAGAAAGTAATTATTATCAATTGATTATACCAAAACATTGATTAATTGAAGTCCATTTACAAACCTTGGCTATCACTTGTTGATTGCTGCAGTCTGCAGTTGCTCTCAGTGGTTTGCAGAAAATTGAGTCCCACCACCCAAAATAAAGTAACTTGTCAACCTAAACAGTTCATAGATACATCTGTCTGTTTGATCCAAACTTGTCTGTAGGATGTAATGGCAGGCATACAGTAAAAAGAGTTATGTGACAAGTATGTAGATTAGAGTCTAGTAGTCTACAAAAGCTTATGTCACAATAAATTTGTTAGTCTTTAAGATGCCACAGGATTCTTTGTGTCTGTTGCAACAGGCAAATACCCTTCTGGAAGTTCTTAGGCACATATTATATGCAATATAATCAATATGATCTGTTGAAATATGGAGGCAATCTTATTATTGATGGACTTCAAAGAGATTATCTGGTTTCAAGGTCTTTCAATCTACTGCTGTAGAAGGTAATTGCTTGGAATTGTAATATGTGGACAAATTCAACACTTTATTCATGGTAGTGTACAATAGTTTGTACCATTAGAATCCGAATAAGAGTAGGTATGGTGAAAATCAATAAATACTATTATATCAATGATGGGCCCATAACATCCATAAAATGGCAGTAAATATCTCTTAGACATACTGAAATTGAAAACCATGAAATGCTGAAATACAGCTAGATAGAAATTCCTCAGTACTTAAACAAAAGGCCTTAACAATTTTTCAACTATGTACTCTGAAATTGTGATTTTGAAATGGGAAGAGAAAAATAATGAGCCATGTTAAAACTATGAGGAATGGATGTTTGATACACACACAAATATTTTAGGTGCCTACTAAGAGCCTAAGAGATAGGGGTAGAAGTTAACATTGACAATGAAAGTTAAGACCTGCAATTCATCAGATGTTCATGTTTTTAGCTGTGAGGGTAGTGGGTAATTGGAACTGCTGTGTTCTCAGGCCAGGAAGTGTAATGTATCAGATAAGCTGCAGCAGTGTAGACTCTGCCACTTCTTTTGTTTTTGCACTGATAAGTATTTATGCTGGATTATTTAATTCCTAATGACTGATTACATCACAGAAGATGCTAAATCTGGAGACACCTATAGAGCATCTGTCTGTCAAAGCTGCTCCTATAAATGAACCAGAGGGTAGCAGTTCGATATCTTGAAACTAACCAAGCCAGTGCTAATGATTAACTAAAATTCTGAAGTATTTATGCTGGATTATTTAATTCCTATGACTGATTACATCACAGAAGATGCTAAATCTGGAGACACCTATAGAGCATCTGTCTGTCAAAGCTGCTCCTATAAATGAACCAGAGGGTAGCAGTTCGATATCTTGAAACTAACCAAGCCAGTGCTAATGATTAACTAAAATTCTGAAAGGCCGGAAGTAATAAATTGTGACTTGGAAGCTACATTAAATGCAAGCCTGTGGACCAGAGTGCCCTTTGGCCATTCATTTGGTAAATTCCCGCCACTAGTTGCTTTCACACAATGAAACCACACATATTCCTGGATCTTGACAAATAGGAATGTAATTCCAAACTCTCTTTCTATTGTATCTCACACCTTAATCATTAGGGTTCCTAGAGCAGCATCTGACCTATTCCAGTAAGGGTTCCTTAGACTTGGTATCACATTATGACAGTAAGCAGCATGCTAACTTAGAACTGCTTCCAGTATTATGTGTTGTTTCCTATGGTTCATCTTCGTCATGTCAGTCTGACAGATGGATACACTTACAAGCTAGTATGCCAATCTGTTTTATGAGACACTTCCTCTGGGAATGTGAACTCCGTATAGGAAACCGAATCTTCCATATAGTTCATCATGTGTGGCAAATGCACTTGCCTATTCCAAGTACATACAGAAAAGCAGCTGCGTATTCATTTGTCACCCATCAACTGCACAAGGATGTGTGCAGTTTCCATGCTTATGGGATGTCTGTGCTTTTAATAAATCCCTTTGGGGAGATGATTTGTGAAAGCGTCTGCAAGCATGAAAAATTAAACATTTGAAATGGCAGCGTGTTATGCTCAAATGCTGCTGCTGCCCATGAGGGGGCAGTCTTCAGCTGCTTTGAGTGTCCCCTTCCCACTTCAAACAGCCCTGGCCGCTGTTAGGATTTTTAGTTTAATTTCTGGGTTATGGGAAGGAGTGAGGATTGTGGCTTGGCCCCCATTTAGCCTAGACAATGAGCGATTTGTTCCAACTTTGCTGTGTCCTGTGGTATTTCACCCTCTGCTGAGAGGTTTCCTTGGAATTGTGTAATATGACCAGCTTCTGCTAACCAAACCCATCAGTTTCTGGCTGCTGTGGCCATGGCAGCTCTATAATCAAGTTGTGGGCTCTCAAGAGCAAAACGCAGTGATGATCAGGAGAGAGCTCTTGTAAAAAAACTGAAGTGCCTTCTAAGTTACTGCAGTGGTGATGGAAAGCTTTTTGCCCGGCACCTCGACTTGGTTTGTTGAGGTTGCTTCCATTCTGCTGGGTCATTAATCATTAGCCAGAGGCCTATTTAGGTTTCAGTAGCCCAGCAAAATGTTCCTTATTTTGGTGTGAGCCAAAGAGACAAAAGTCAGAACTCCTTTTTATTATCATTACTTGAATATTTTTGCGCAAGCGTTTACATTTAAAGAGGATTCTTCTTCAAGCAGACAGCACTTGTTTCTTGACAATATAGAAAGCAATGTTTGTGCAAAGTCAGTTTAAGAGGACAGTCTAACTTCAAAACATTTGCTATGATTTACTATGAGTAAGCTTAACAGCACTCCTCTATCAGCACCATTACTAATACATTAGTGACTCATCTTTCCTCCAAGCTGTTCAAAGTGGCATTTATTATCCGTCCGTCCCCTTCCTATTATATCCTCACAACGACCCTGTAAGGCAGGTTAGGCTGAAAGACAGTGACTGGTCCAAAGTAAACCAGGGAGCTTCATGGCTGAGAGTGGATTGAACCCTGGTCTCTCCTGTCCCAGTCCACCACAATAGCCACTGCACCACACAGGTTTCCTCTATAGCAGGCACATCCAATTTCCAAGAGACTGCAATCTACTCCCACTATAAAAAAAAAACTATCTGAAGAAGTGTGCATGCACACAAAAGCTTATACAGTGGTACCTCGGGTTACATACGCTTCAGGTTACAGACTCCACTAACCCAGAAATATTACCTCGGGTTAAGAACTTTTCTTCAGGATGAGAACAGAAATCGTGCTCCGGAGGCGCGGTGGCAGCTGGAGGCCCCATTGGCTAAAGTGGTGCTTCAGGTTAAGAACAGTTTCAGGTTAAGAACAGACCTCCAGAACCAATTAAGTACTTAACCTGAGGTACCACTGTACCAAGAATAAACTTAGTTGATCTCTAAGGTGCTACTGGACAATTTTTGTATATATTTTGACTGCGTCAGACCAACACAGCTACCTACCTGATTATATATATAAAAAACTGGCAGTGATCTACCCATTGGCTTGACCAGAGTTGTTGAGCTTTTGGGGGGAGGGGGCTATCAGGGTTCCAGGATCAACCAGGGACATCCCTCGATCAACCTGTAGATCGCTGGTTGGACATCCCTGCTCTATAGAGATGCAATGTTTATCTTAATTCCTTATTTTAAGTTATTTTGATCAGTTGAAAAGGTGACCCTGGTTGTTATTTAAAAGTATATAACTTAATGCACCATTTACAAGTCCATGAGTGACAAAACACTTTTAAGAGGAATTCCTTTCACATGCCTGCTGGGACATATAAATGCATTATCTAAAAACAAAGGGTCTTCTTTCTTCAGAACTATTTACATGTAAATATATGCAGATTTGGGACGCGGGTGGCGCTGTGGGTAAAAGCCTCAGCGCCTAGGGCTTGCCGATCGAAAGGTCGGCGGTTCGAATCCCCGCGGTGGGGTGCGCTCCCGTTGTTCGGTCCCAGCGCCTGCCAACCTAGCAGTTCAAAAGCACTCCCGGGTGCAAGTAGATAAATAGGGACCGCTTACTAGCGGGAAGGTAAACGGCGTTTCCGTGTGCGGCTCTGGCTCGCCAGAGCAGCTTCGTCACGCTGGCCACGTGACCCGGAAGTGTCTCCGGACAGCGCTGGCCCCCGGCCTCTTG